TAAGAGCCAAATATTTAAGGTCACATACTGAGAAATTCAGTAGGGGCGGGCATAGGCAGAGGGCCCACCTCAAATCTTCGCCTTTTCTGCAAAAAGTCATTGCCAGTGCACACAGCGTGAACTGCCGTGTCTCAAGGGGAGCATTGCATGGGGACAGCAATGGACATGAAAGTGCAGTGTGGCCCCTGCAGAACTGCCCTGCCACGCAGCAGGAGGAGGAAAGAGCCACACGCATCCCTCCATTAGCACATCAGAAATGTCAGGTGTGATGAGGAGTGCTAAGGATGTGGTTGTGCCCCTGAAGAGTCAGCGCCGCTGCGGGATCATGGGGTTTGGCAGGGCAAGATGAGAAGTGACAGCTGAAACCGGCTACAAAGATGTTACCAGCATTTGGGGAGAAGCTCGGGTAATGCAGGTCACTGGCATCCTCGGTTTCGCTAACATCATAACATTTTCCATACAGTGGCAACTCCGTTTCTTCTCGTGTGGCTTTAATAGTTCCCCAGTTTAAAGTTCAGATAAAGTCTTGCCTTCTGCATCTGATGTGCTTCCTTGTAAAATCTAAGAGGAGAAAATAGGAATCGACACCTACCGCTCTTTCTTAGAGTGGTTATTCCATCTTGGAGGTTGTTGAGGAGGATGCTCTCCCTCCATAGGATTCAGTGATCAGAAACTGGAATAAAACTGGGACGTGAACCAGACTATAAGTGTAGGATAATGAATAATTCTGCTATTCCAAACCCATGAAATACAAAGGGATTTTTTTTTTTTAGCGTATGAAAGACTCCAGGAATAGGTATGCAGCCAGGCTGTTAACATTGCAACGTTCCCAGCTCAGAACTGATTCCCAGGACTTGACTGAACAAGCTGACATCAGAAGAAGAGTGAGGAAGCGGGACTGGGATACAGCAGGAGCTCTAAAACTGCCTTGGAAGAGACCCAGAGCAAAGTGTCTGGTTATCAGGATCTGAGAGGCAAAAGTAAGCTCAGAGACCCCAAAGGCATCACAGAAAGCAGGCACAGACGCTGACCTTTTCTACCTTACTTGTATCCTCACCGTAGTGTTTCATGTTTTCCCACCAGCACAGCTCCATTGGCCTTGAATGGAAGAAGACCAAAGGCGTCTTTGCCATCTTCCCAGCCACAGGACACACGAGGTATTTTATCTGCAGATGGCTGGTAAGATGATCCATGGAATCCCCATTTCCCCAACATTTTCAGGACTGTTTTCCACCATACCATCTCATTCTCCAGTGAGGTAACTCCATAGCTTGTATCACCTCCCTTTTGGATAAGTTTCTCTCCAGAAGTTTACCAAGAAACTGGACTCAAGGAAACCCACTTGTGTAGAGACAGACGGGCAGAAAGCTGCGTGTGTGAGATGGAAAATTCACATACAACACGAAGGAAACTCCCTCTGTAACGGCCCCTCCTGCCTTGATAGCCCCTGTGGGCTCTCCACCACTGTGGGGATGTCCATTTATGAGACCTTTCATCCCCACCCAGTTGTTGTCTTTGTTTCCAGCCTTTTAAATCTGGTCAAGCCAAGCTGTTGAGCCCTGGAGAAAGCCTTTTCAGAGCTGCTTGTTAGCAGTGTTGCTGGTTAGTCCCCTGTGCTTATTGTATCTTACTCCTGAGACTGATTTAATACCTTAAAAAGATGCTTGTAGCCAAAAATACCTCTGTCTCTGAAAGGTCCTCAGCCTCTGGCAGAATCCAGTTGTACCAGGTGGGTCAAACTCTGTAGCAGGGATAAAAATCCAAATTTATCACAATTTAAGATCTTCGGGACAGACGTTTTAAAGAAACTGAAGATATGATGTCAAACTACAGTCTGTGGAAAAGAAAGTCTCTATGACACAGGTTGCGTAAGGGCAGTAATAAGCATGAGGAAAGTGGGACAGAGGATTTTAGTAAGGACTGAACAGCAGGGGAGGCAAACAGGCATCGGTCTGCAAAGGTGAAGAAAAGGTAGGAACGTGTGGGATTTCACAAGGACATGTTAAATTTATGCACTAAGGTTAAATCACATTTATCCAGAAAAACTAATATCCAAACTCTTTTTTTTGTAGTAACTAAAGCTTTGAGAACACAGTCCTCGCAAAGGAAAGATGTGCAAGAGGATTTCTCAAACCGCGTTGCTAATGAGTGACGCTGTTCTTATCTACAGTTTGCATTAGAAGTGATAAATTGGACCAGAAAAGTACAAAGCGTACTAAAGAACAGCTCAAGAGGGAAAACAACAGGTTGTGTTCAGCAAAGAGCGTGGGATATTAATACTCACAAGTGACTGGTTTCTGTACTCCCTGGCAGAGGAGGGAACTGCGACTGGGGCTGGGCAGGGTCTCCCAAGCCTCCCTGCACCTCCACCTTTAGGGCTGCTGTGTTTCTCCAACCACTGAAATCTTCTCTTTTTGGTGTTTAACAGCATGCAACGTTCGTTGCTGGATTGGGACACTCTCAATGCCCAAGACCCCTCAGCAGAAAGGCTCCTTGGCCTCAAGGAACTGGGTTACAAAGCACTTGACACACGCTCTGTGATACTAGGTGGACTAAATAGCCATGATTTCAAGTAAACAAAACTACTCATGGAACAAAGTTTAGAAACATAAATGGACAAGTTGTTTGTGCTATTGTGGTCAATAGCTCTTCTGGGACCCATTTTTGTTAAAGTCTGACCCTTCATGTTGTTTGTGAAAAAATCAGACAAAAGCAAATGTTACTTAAAATTCTACCAAACAGATTAAATCCCAAGGCAGGCAGCGAGGTGATGTTCGTAACCTTCAAAAGCAGTCGACAAAGAAAAGTAAAGGAGCTCTGTCTCAAATCACCTGCAGCTACCAGATTTGAACGGGCAGAACAGCAATTTCAGAACTGGGAATGTGGCTGCACTGATTTAAATCAGAAAAGAAGCAGAATTACCTGCGAAATTAAGATGTTCCACACTGAACTGCTTGCCTTCCCCAGTTTGTGAGCTTTTCACAGGAACAATTTTAGTTTCTGCTGTGCAGGGTACCCCTTTTACCTCCTTACCTTTCCTGCCCACAGCTTTGCATCTGCCGGGTATCGGGTTTTAGATGCAGTGCTAAACGCAGAAACATTCTGAATGCAACTTAATGGAAGCTTGGTATTATTTTCACAGAATGCCTTCTTTTTTTCAGAGAATAGGGAAAACACAGACCAAAAGCTCTTTGACCTGTGTAAAAAGAAACATCTACACGTAGTATGCAGGGTGCATGTCCCAGTGAAGGCAGCTCTGCCAGACACCGTGTTCCCAACGTGCCGTGGGCTGCAGCTCCTCTGACCTCTCCTTTTTCTTCTGGCTGGAGCTTTGTCTGCGGCAACACTTCATCTAAGCTGGAAAGATTCCTATTTTATATGTCAAGGCAATTCTGGAAAGCTCTAACGTGAACAGAAATGTTACTTCTGTTGGAGTGGTGTCTCTATTCATTTTCCTACATTTTCCAAAGGGAGCGTATGTCATACTGAAAACATTGATTCTTGGGAGTTTCTACAGAATGAACATACATTAAGCCAAGAACTACTTTAAATACTTACAGGATGCAGTAATCATATTTTTATGTGACTTTTCTTGCAGGATGACTCCCATACAAGTCTGATATGTTCAAATATTCATTTGGCAAAATTTCTTGATTCTATAGGATTTTTCCATAATGACAAGAAGAAATAATATTTGGATTCCTTGTCTAAACAACCAATTTTCTTAAAGTAGATCTCTTTCTCTATGATATTTATGTGACAGTCTACTTTCTAAATGTGGATGTATTTGCTGTTAAGTTTTCAAAGGTTGGCTATAGCCATGTGAATACCCAGCTACCAGTCTGCATGCAGCTGCTGAAATTTCACATCCAAGCCAAGTGCACGGGAATACGCGTCATGCTCCAGTTTTTGCCACTTAGCATCTTTGAAAAATCTGTGCTGATACTTTCTGCTTCATTCTGCTTTTGCGAAGAACGAAATATTTTGTTGCTCCAGGTTTAAATCCCAGTTCAGAAACAATCATTTCTGAAGCAGGGGCAGTTTACAAGTAGTGTAACTAAGCACAGCCTCAAGCAGCGATTGCAATGAAGGAGGTACATTTTTATCGTTATCTGTACGGTTTGCTCTGGATACATGTTAGACTATGGTTCACTCAAGGGAAGGGGCGGAACATAACAATTACGCCCATGCCATAGAAATAAAAGTCAGACTCAGAGCTATTCAGTATGCTGCCTGATAAAATGTAAAGTAGCTACTCAGGCCGCAGGAGGCAGAGATGGAAAAGGCCGGCAGGTTAATCTCCATCTCCTCTCAGCACACGGCTGTGCTCTGCCTGATCGAGGTCTTTGCTTGACATCTACCAAGCCCCAGAGCAGGAGGCTAAACGGTGGGGTTTGTCACATCACGGGGAGGTTGTCACACTGCCTGCGGTGCTTGTGTACATAACGCCCCTGCCAGGAAGCCATCAGCGTTTTGCCAAAAGCAGAAGCAGTCAAAATGGTGCTAGACTTTGTTACCTTGTCAGCCAACAGAAAACGCAGTTTTGCTCCGGTGGATTTGCATTTTTGGGCATGAGGTGCTGTTTTCCTTTGTGCTGGGGACTGAGAACAACAACTGACAAAAAGAAACCACAAGCAGACAAATGGGCAAAAATTATCTGTTATTTCTGATTGTTTCAATACATTATTTCTTTTTTTGTTACAAGTCTGTCAGCCTGCACCTCTGACTGTGTCTTTGTCTTGCCGTGGGATGTGCAATGTGAGTTTGAACACTGCAGTTGTTCAGTGCCGAAAAGCAGAGACGGATGACTCATTCGAATGCAGGCTGGTTTGGTGGCTGTTGTGTTCGGTTGACTTGTCCATAGAGAAATGATGGGACATTAAAAAAAGCGCAAATAACACATTTGGTGTTCAGGTTGCTGCTTTTCTTGGAGTGCGTGGAGCTTTCACCCAGAGATTTCCAGGGCAAAGCAATGTCTTCAGCTGCCTCCGCACCAGCCGTCAGGGGATGAAATCTGTGTGTGGAAAGGAGATGAGACCAATGAGCAACTGAGTAGATCAGTGTCAAGTACTGAGAAGGAATGGCATAGAATTAATTCTTTTCCCTTGTAAATCTTTTGTTTGGTGCCAGGGATATTCTTCGTTGCCCAGGAATTTTTACAATTGAGTCTGCATGAAATGTGCATGTGTAGGAACTGAGGTATTGTTCCTCTCTATCCACCGTGGAAACATTTCTGGGGACAGTAAGAACAGGAATACCCCCATAATCACTCCACCTGCTCGACTACTGCTGCAGTTATGTGTTAATCTAGGAAGAAGGACTGAGGAGCAGTCAACAGAACTGGCTTTTATCGGTATGAATTGCACAGGAGGCTTTTGCAGGACTGACAGTGTCTGAAGGATGAACAAACGTCTCTGCCTAGCTCAGGAGAGGTACTGAGAGAGACCAGCTATAAAATCATAACTTCTGTACTGAGATAGTCAGGACTTACCTCTTCTACTTGTCCCATAACATCCAGAGATATCACAACCCCCTGGATATCCAGACTGCCCAGGCTGCCCTCTGACACCGGGAAAACCTGGAGGACCAGCATTCCCAGGGTAACCCTTTGGACCTGGTTTCCCCAGCACAACTTCTCCTGGTGGACCTGAAGAAGGAGAAGCACTGTAAGCTGTAGCACATCTACTTTAGCTGCTTCTGTAGTATCTCTTCTATATTTTCTCCATCCTATGTGGTGGTTAGTTTTCTGAGTATTTTTCATCATTTCAGCAGAAAAACAGGACCTGACTGTTGGACAGCCTCTTCTGAACCCCAGTAACTAGAGGGCTTGTTCTTGACCATAAGGGTACCCAGCTTGGCTAAAAATGGAGCCTGGTTACAAGAATCCAAAGTCCACCTTACATGTCAATGCAGAAAATCACCTTAACCCCAGAATCCATTTGTGTCTTTACATCTCAAATATAAAAGTTTAAATACAGAAGGAGATGTTTGATCACACTCTCTTGATAGTGCTTGGTTTGTTATGCCAGTGGCAAACCTCCCACTGGTTCCAAGTAACAGGGATCAGGATGGAGGAGTACACCAAATCCTAGCAGATTGCTCGAAACCCCTTGTGTTTCATGAGCTGAATATTCAGAGTTTCTATCTCCTGAGCATCTGGTCTTGCATGCAAAAAGGCAGCAAATCTAAAATTTCCTGGATGTTTCTCAGGCCCTTAAAATATGTCATTACCTGGGGATGGGTACCAGAGTGAAGAAGCTGCTGGGAGCAGTCTCTTACCTCTTAGCAGAGAGGAGCCATCCAGGATGCTGCCAACAGTGCTGCAGCGGGAAGGTCAGTTTGCCCCACCACAGTGGTCCTAAGGCTAAATGATGCTTTGAATCTGGTAGCTGGTGAGCTCTGGATGGCCCCACTGGGTCAGTACAAGGAGGTTGTGTTCACTCTACCTGTTCTCCCTCTGGGTCCTTGGATCCCTTCCTCACTGGCTCCAGACATCCCCTTTTCTCCTTTGGGCCCTGGGGCACCTAATCACAGATAAGGGATAAATCACTTCACTGCGTTTTGCATTTCACCCTGAATTAATGCTCCTGCAGTCTCCCCACCAGTCTCTTAGATATTGAACTGAAAGAGAGTCACAGCCCTTGGCAACATAGAGAAATATCCATCTCTTTTAATTCTATCTGGGAATAGAAATATCTATTCTTCTGTCACAGAATCACAGAGATTCTGTGATAGAAGAATTCTTCTATCTATCTGCTCTGTTTTCCAGAGTAGCCATTTTCCCATGACCAACAGGGCTCCAACTAGCACTGATTTGCAGACTGATATGGATGAAACTGGAGATTTTTCACAGAGAAATTCATAGTGCTGGTGTTAGTGCACTGGTCTGAGTGTGAGGTCCACTCCCATGCTCTTCACACGGGTCAGACAAATCACAAAGCTGAGCTGTCTCATCAGGTGCTGTTAAGTCAGGCTTGCTGTTTTCACATAAAATTGCTCACAAAACCAGTACATTTCAGTAAAATAGGTACATTTTGATAAAATACCATTTTTCATATTTTTAAGATGAAACTATTTTGGTCAGTTGTGTCCTTAAGGTTGCTTTTCAGTGAGATCTGCCTTCTTCTATCTCCTTGCTCGACAGGCTGGAAACATCTTCAGGTTGTTACTTCCCTTTTCTCTTAAGTGGCATTTTGATAACCTCTGCAGACACCAGCTAAGACTGAACAGTGCCAGAGCAAGGAGTTAAACAGGAGGTCTCTAGTTACTTAGAGGTGTTAGGACACTGCTGAAACCAAGGTTTTTCATTTTATTTTGACAGACAATTACTTGAGCCACTGACAAAAGTCATCTGCAAATCCAAGCAAAACATATTCTCACCATTCAGTCATGTGCAACACCCGATGGTACTTTCTGAGATTACATTAATCTATTTCTTTGTTCAAGTGTGAGGCTTTTGTGTTGGAACTACTGCTCCAGAAACCTAACTTCACTTTCAGTATGACTTCAGTTGCCTCATGCCTTCATTCAGTGTTTTTCAAGACTTGTTGTTTCTGCCCAGAGGTGATCCGTTCCACCACCACGTGTTCATCCAAAACGCTGTTTCTTTTGCCTTTGTGTAGGAAAAGCCTCCTGCCCTCTAAAATCAAACACTCAGTCCTTCAAAATCTACAAACTGTCCTTCCTCTCAAAGCAGAGCTTGAAAAAAGAGTGGGCTGCGTGTGTCTTCTCCCTACCCTTTGAGCTATCTAACTTGGGATACTCTTCCTAGAGAGAGAAGTTCAAAAGGAAAATAGCAATCAAGTGAGATAATATCATGGGTTATCTTTACAGTACTCCTTGAGGCACTAAAATGTTTAGTTAAAGTATCAAAGATATAGTAAAAAAACGTTTATGAATGCTTCTGTCCATACCTCTTTCTCCAGGATACCCATCTTTTCCTGGTTGTCCAGGGATGCCATTTTCTCCTCTTTCTCCGTTGCTCCCAGGGGGACCTGGAGGACCTGGCGGTCCTGGTTCTCCTGGTTTTAACCTTTCTTCCCAAACAGGAACTGGCTTCCTTGCATGTTCATGAATGAATGAATCAAATTTCAACACATGAGCTAAGAAAGAAAGACAGAAAATGAATGTTTCCTTGCCTGGGAAATTCAGAAAAGAGAAAAAATCAAAGGATGTTGTCTAAAAAGGTACTTAAAATGAGCGGGTAGTGCTGAAAAGCTGTCAGTCCAAACAGAGAAAGCCAGAAACTGAAGAGGAAGATGGGCAGCTGAGTCATCGCTTTGCTGCCTGACCTTGCACAAACCACCGCTTCTTTTCATGCCTCACAGCACAGGAGCTTAACCAAAAATGCCTCGTCTCAAGAGGCATCAGCACAAATCACCAGAAGAATAATTTCTTTCAAACTAGTTTCAAGCTTTTCCATTTGAGAAACACAGGAGCCTTTGCAAAGCACCGGAGGGTTTTCCCAAGAAATATTTTACCGTTCAATGCCACTCAATAAGACTGAGTAGCCCTGAGAGCCTGCACTGGGACATTTGCTGTGCGTGGTGCTCAGCACAGTGCAGGATGGAGGAGCTCCCTGGGTCACCGGGGCTTCATGCTGCCTACCCTCTGGTTTTGTTCACCACTGCTGGAGAGGCGTGAAAACACTCGGGAGCTGGGCTGGTTATACTCACTCTGAATCATCCGCTCACAAGCCTGGCTAACGAGCTGGTAAATTGTGGCCAAGGACTGTGGTTCCCCCTAAAGTGAAACATTTTTTAAAAAAAGGAAGTATTAATATCTAATAGAAAGGATTGATATCGTAATACATGGTAGCTTTCTGCCCTTTCTTTTTATCAGCTTGAGTTTCTGAGATATTAATTACTGTGAAGTGCAGCTTTATTTATTTATCACAAAGCTCTGAAGCTGTAAAACTGAAATTGGGGAACATCAATAATTGCTTGTCTCCTTCACATCAGAAAGCCCAGATTGAATCTCAATAATCACCAAAGCTACCAAACTAGGGAGAGCAAATTTCACTTTCAAATTTTGTGAAAAAAGCTGCTACGTCTATAACTCAATGTTCTGTGATATGTAAAACATTTCATATTATCAGATACTACAACATCCTATCTTTGTCTAAATCTTTTATGAATATTGATTCTTACTGTCACTATATTCTGAATAAATCATATCTGAGGGGTTCTTCAGAAAGTTTTAGTAAAGTAAGGAAAAGAGATAAAAGTGCAAAAAGCTGCTTAAAAATAAACACTGACTCTGTCTGTGAAAATGTGTAACAAACACACTGCATACTTCCAAAAAACAGTTACAAAATCTACATCTCTGGCTGGATCACTGTGGAGATTACCCAGACTTCAACAAAAGCTTGGCACAACACCCAAGGGAGGGAAAAAGGAAAGTTCCACTGCAAAAAAAAAAAAAAAAAAAGTAGAGAAGGAAAAACTGGTGGGAGTGGAAGGAGAATGGTGTTAAAAAATGGTGTTAAAAAATATAAGACTGAGGCATTAACTGGAGACAAAAGCAATCCGTCAAAGGCAGCTCACTCCTGTCTGAGGCCTCATTCACAGAATCAGTCTTGGCAATGAGACTCAGACTCCTAGAAAGGCAGAGGGTTTCTTTTTAGCCAACAGTCAGGATGAGAAAAACTTCCTCTCACAATAAAACAAGCTTCAAAGGCAACGTAGATCTCCTGACTTGAAATGCTCTGTGCTGGGGCATGATAGAGGATTATTACACGAGTTCCTTCTTCTGTCACACATCAAAAAAGAGCAATTCGGTCCAGCCAAGTCGTTTTGTTTTTTGCTTCTCACCAAAGAATGTATTTTCAGTTGGCGTTTCTTCTTCATTACTACCACTGATACTAGGGAGCTCCCGGTTGCCGCAGAATTATTTATACCCCACCAGCATAGCCAGTGCAGGTGACTGGAAAGGCAATGAGATACAGGCACATGGAGTTTTTCGACACTAGGAAAGTTTACGTGTGTAAGCATAGCTTGTCAAGCACATTACCACCTCCACCCTTCAAGTGTAGGATGCAGTGACAGCCTTGCTGCCTAGCACCACAAAAACTCACTTTCTCTCCTCTTTCTCCTTTTGGACCCGGCAGACCCTACAACGAAAGAAAAGAAAAAAAAAATCTAGAGAAAGGAAGAGCAGAAGAAAACAAAAAATCATCAATGGGAATGCAGGTTACATTAGTGGGACAAGGAGCACAAAGTTTGTTTCTCACACTTGTCGTTGCTTGACCTCATGCCAGTGACTAGAAGAGTTTCAAGCTCATAGGAATATTTTGGGTTCTTTTTTAAGAAAAAGAATAATAAAGCAGCAGCTGGGGCAGTGGCATAAAGCATCATCAACAGGGATGCAGAAATTCCTCAGATACAATCTTAGAACAGATTTCCCAGTGTAGCAGGTGGTTTTTAACATCTAAGAAGAAGAAGTATCTGTGACATTTAGACCTGCAATTGCCCCTACAAGCCCAACGCTGGATACTCCAGCTCAGGACTGACTCTCTTGCCTTATTCTGGAATCTTACACCAGAAATTTGTTTGGATGTCGGATTTTGCCTGGCTTGTGAATGTACAGAGAGCAAAGGGAGATGGGATTTGTTAAATGCTTTATCAACAGTTAAGTAGCATGGGCTTTGCATATCCAGACGTCTCCTTAAGAAGGATGACTGTGAATTATAAGTTCTTTAGAGTCTGACGGAGAGCTGCTGTGGGAACAGCTTTTTTCCATTCAGTTTTTTCATGTCTTGACCTTCTTGGAGTCCCAATAGCGGAAACTTACTGTTGGCCCAACATCACCTGGAGGTCCCTTCTCTCCACTGCTGCCTCGGGAGCCTGTCACTCCTTGGAAACCCTGCAGTGATGAATTACAAGACAGAGGTAAAATTCCAGTTACTTCCTAACTTTCTCGTTTTTCTTTTCAAGGCCGACATCTCCCTACAGCTCCAGGGGCACCAGCAGTTTGAGTTTAGAGGACTCTAGCAAGGGCATTGTAGCCTTAAGGTTTATGTCAGTACCTCGTCCAGCCACAAGTCCAATATTAAGAGTATATCATGTATGAGTCATGTTTACATCATTTTCTATTAATGTCTCAATTATGACCAAGCCAGCAAAGCTGAGTTTTGCCAACAAACTGTAATGTGTTTTTTACCCAGCAGGCTTCAGATACTTCATTATCTATTCAGATATAGACATAGCCTAGAGCATAACCCTTTTCTTCAGCCTCCTAATACCGTGCTGTTGTTTTCTTTTTCCTTTAAGACCTGTGTTTGCCTCTAATACTTTATAACAGTAACAGCAGCTTAGAGAGAGGCAAGTGCCTTCTTTGGTCATCTCCGCTTTATGAAGTTTTGGTGCCCTTTGGAGCCACAAAAATAAGCCAAAAACAACCCGTAGAAATATTTTCTTCTATAATTTTCCAGCTATTACTTTTAAGCTCTGTAGAGATTAGCAACTCTTCTGACCAGTGAAAATGAAAGAAGTCTTTAAAGGAGCACCAGAACTGCTTTAAGAGCCTGCTCGGAAGGCTACAGTGCTTTCCTCGTATTTAGCAAGCTGAGGTTCAACCCTGTCAGCTCCACACCTTCCCAGGATGAGCAAGTCAAAGTTACGAGCTGAAGTCAACCTCAGCTCCCGTAAATATCTAACTTCACCACAACTGCTGTGGGGTCTAATGGAAAGACAGCAGTGAGCTGTCTCCATCTTACGCTATTCAGGACTGCCAAACTCCTTATAATTCAGCAGTGAGAATCAAAAGCTATCAGGTCCTCCACCCATTATCTAAAACCAAATTTAGTTCTGTTTCCCATGCAAAGTGAAGTGTACCTGTTTCAGAGAACTTGGGAGTGCTGTGGTGCCTTCAAATTAGCAGATGGATGTAAATGAACAGATCTTAAGGTTCTTCCATCCTGGGCATGACAGGATGCAAATACACCTATCTACATGCAGCCCTGGCAGCAGATACTGGAACTGGCATGGGGGGGAACTTTTCACACCTGCCTGCATTCTCCAGCTCCTGTTGATTTCAGTCTAAAAAGGCCATATACCCCAAACTCAGCCAACAGTTGAAAACCAGTAGCACCAGGAAAGTAAAAATAGTGAACCAAGCGTCTCCTTGTGGGGTCAAAGCTTCCCCAGAACTTGCCAGCAGAAGCCAAGGTTTTTCTTCTGACACTGCCAGAGGCAGGGAAAATGGACATCTGCACCATGTGCCAGGTATTCCCCGTGGCACCCCGAGCAGGGTTTTGCCCTGACACCTCTGGGTGACAGCCAGTCAGCAGAAGCCACAGGCGCCTGCTGAGGAAGAGATTTCGATGCACGTCACTCCTAGGCAGTACTCACCCTCGGCCCTGGAGGTCCTGGAGGCCCAGCTGTGCCTTCTAGTCCCCTCACCCCCTGCAAAGCCAAATCCAGCCATGTATTAATTCAAAGAGATTCAGAGAGGATTCAAAGAGACCTAGTAAGCGGTGAGGCAGTTTTTCCATGTGTTGCTTTTAACAGAAGCTTTCTAGGGATGGGTAAAAAATGCATCTGCCAAGCAGGCAAGAAGAGTGGCATCTGGTTAAATTTGGCCAAACCTGAGATGACACCATGCTTTTGTTTTCCCAATCCCTCTGGCTTTGTAAAAAAACTCTTCACTTGTGCACAGAGTGCATTAGGAGAGCTGGATGTTTCAGGTCTTCACTGGCACACTCACAGCAGAATTTTGGGCACCCATGCATGAAAACTCACACGAGGAATGCCCTGTAAAACAGAATTGCTGGGTGAAGATGGCATCTGATTATCATTGCCCTAATTCATCTTGTTAGAGGGGACATAAGAAAAAGACGGAAGAAGAAACAGAGTTATTCATAAGTCTATCTTGCATCAACTGACTCAGTTTCCCTTGGGAAAGTGATGATGCTCCAAAATGAAAGACAGTTTCCAAAAGTTTCCAGGCAGACAACAGTAACAACTCTCTGGCTTTTCAATCTTTCTTAAAGTAATTACTGGGAAAAATCGGCAAATCTTGGTAACAAATAAAAGGAATGGTGTCTACCATTACCTGCATGCCAGGACTTCCAGTGTCTCCTTTCTCTCCTTTGATTCCTGGAGGTCCCTTGGATTGAAACAGAAGCAAGTAGTTAGGCATGCTGCAGTATCCATCAACGCAAAGAGCATCCTCCTGCTCCACATCCATGTCCCAGGTTGCTCCTGCTCCTTGCAATGCTATAGGGAATTTTACAGCCACAGCATGTGCACGGGGATTCTTCCATCCCAGAGATGCACACAGCAGCCTCCACCTCCACTCCTTGCCAAGCAACAATGATCATTGCAAAGAAAAATGCCTGAATGCTCCCCGGGGCTGTTTTTATTAAAGGCACAGTAGGGAGAGTCTGGACAAAAGCACTCTTCTGCCAGAATAACTAAGTGAAGAATAACTAACTCGTCAGCATGAAAAAATGATCATCATCATCTCTCACTAGTGCAGCTGTCCAGCTGTTAGTAAGGGTGATGTAAATACACAGGTCCCGTTTTGGGGGATTTATGAAGACACTCATTTTTGAGACTTGTTCTAACTGCAAAGAGCAAGTGACAAAAAAGGCAGTGGAAGAGATCACGTACCACAGGACCCTGAACCGTGATTCCCTGGGAACCTGGAGAGCCTTGTTGACCACTGGGACCCTCTGGCCCTACTTGTCCAGGTGGGCCTGGTTCACCCTAAAGTCAAAGATATGAAATCAAACATAAGGAAAGAAAACAACTAGTGCCTGCTCTCCATGTGGGCTGCACTGCACAACCTGGATCAGCATGAACTGTCTACAGGATTCAAGATGCAGTCAGGACAGTGAAGGCATCTCTAGTAACCCCAGTTGCCTTTGCCTTTTAGGTCCAAGGTTTTGGTGCGTCTTTCATGGGAGAAGACAGCAAAGATGCAGATGGTGCTCTGCAAAGCACGATTCACCTTCCCAAGCAGTGGGCCGATCCTGTTATTCAAGGTGGCCAGAGAGCAAAGGGAAATGCTCCTTGCCTCGTGGCTGAGACCTGCATCCATTCTAATTTCTTACTCAAAATCATTCCCCTGTAACCACGCTGCTTTCCCAGAGGTTACCCCAAAGTAGGGGACCAAAGGGTTGGTCTGGCTCTGCCCTGTGTTGTCCAGTGTTGCACCAGGGCTTGCTCCAGCCGCCAGGGCTTGGGGGTTCAGTCCCAGCTGCTCCCTACGCTCACATCAGGGCTGCTTCTGAAGGCTTTGTCTTCTTATTCTGCTTCGCTCCTCATGCTGCTGTGCCCCAGAGCAGTACCAATCTGTCTGGTTTGGAGGCTTGGCAGCCAGAACAAGCACAGCACAAGAACTGACCATTTTCCAACAAGGCTGCTTTCAGAGAACATTGCTGACCATGTGTATTGCATTAATTCAGCGCAATCAGGCTCATCATCTCAATTTCCAAAGCCCAACTGAGCATTTAATTAATAATAAGTGATCCCATCCTCCTCAATGCATCAGTTCTTAAGGCTCTGTTAGGGCTCTGCTTGGTGCAGTGACACAGTTCCCAGTTTGAAGAATCCATCTCAGACCAGGAATGAACACGTCCAGCTGCACCCCTGCACCACGCCTCCGACACAGCCTGAAGCAGACAAAGCCAGTGGTAATGCTGAGTATCGGGACTCACCTTGGGTCCTGGCTCCCCCTGCTCCCCTTGCGGTCCTCTCCTCCCAGGGCTGCCCTGCCAGTAGGACACAAAGCTGCTGTTATGAATATCATAATCTTTACTGCATTACGGTGCATGTTCACTCCTGTGAGCAGGGGCCTAGGGGACAGAAGTTGGTGCACACAGAAGAAGATGTTTTCTGCCCCAGAGAGCTTGCAGCAGATGGAGACAAGAAGAAAATGGGTCAAGTCACCCAGCAAATGCGGAAAAAAGGAGAGGACAGCACAGCCCCTGTGTGACAGGCGGTGGGGAAGCTGCGCTCACCCCCAGCAGGGAGAGACGAAGGCTCAACCTGTTCAACCTCCTCCCTCCAACTCCCCCAGCAGATCCATGCTGAGACAACGGATGGAGAAGGGGTCACATATGAACATGGGAACTCATTTGAGTAGAAGAAGGAGAGGTGCTCATGTCTACAACCCACTGGGACTATATTGGGGTTTGTAACATCATCCCAAGAGAACAGACACACACTGAGATCGGGGACAGCAACCAGATCTGGGGAGGCCTGGCTTAGCTCTGCATGTGCACAGCTGCTGCACGGAGAGCAGAAACCAGTCTTCTGGCATGAACTGATATCCTGTGAACTTTTGACATCTTAATCTGAAAATTTCTATTCTTGAATCTAAAAAAATAATGGATCTGAATTAAGAAGCACAGGCAATGAGCTTTGGGAAAGGTGTTTTCAGCAGCACGCTCATTTCAGAAGTCAGCTGGATCTGGTCAAAAACACTCATTAAGGACAGCGATAAATACAGTGTGGGACATATTCTTGCTAACTGGAGCTTTAAAAATAGCAACAAGTACTCTTGTAACTGCAGCAAATTACGAAGGGTTTAGTGGTGTGAGGGTAAGGTTATGTGTCAAATCCGTATTTTCTCTAATGCTTAAAAGACTCCTGCTCTTGAAAGCGTTGTACTGCAGGGATGTTTAAACCACAGGGCAACACAAGCTGGTAATTATGCACTTAGGATATTGAAGCAAACTGTGATAGCAGAGTGTGCTGTGTAATTAAACTTCCACCAGAATGAGCATGTAATTACTCTGCAACGAGGCACTGTTCCTTGCAAAGCGTGGGACTGAGTTCACAGTTAAACTACAGTAATGCGAGGGGTGATCTGAAACCTTTTCACTTTAGGAAGGGGGTCAATGTGTTTTGAATGCCTATTTTCTGGGAGAAAAGCACCTGGAGTGGTTGAAATGGGATGCTCTGGACAGGTTGTCAGGTTTTGGCTGCTTTGTGCAAATAAAGAGCTTTTCCCCAGACCTCCAAAATGCAAACTTTTTTGATAACTGCTTCCTCGTGTTTAACTGAAATATTTCCTCCTGCAATTTAAGCTCACGGTGATGCTCCTGCATGCATAATGGATATGGCAAAATATTGCATTTGTCCTTTATCCCTGAGCTTGTTACATACTTAATGACTGTTAAAACTTCCCTTCCATTTCCTTCAGGCTTTTCTTGCAGGTCACAGTCACTGTAAAGAGAGAGAGCTTTGGGGACCAACAGGATTGCAATATCTCCCCTTGCTCTTTACACTGCCCACCCACACAGACATTTAGAGGGCTCTGACTTAACAGAGAAGCTGGATAGGATGGTTTTGTGATGGTTTCTTCATTTGCAAAGAGTTTCAGAGCCTCCGTTCTGTGAAATCTCTGCAGGCACCAAAGGTGACCCGTCTTCCTTTCTTAAGAGGTTTACCGTGGTGCCAGGAAATGCTCAGCCAGTTCCCAGCTGCAGCTGGGATCGCCAGCTCCCTGTCTCCCCGTTTCCTCAGCAGCTGAAATCCAAAGGGCATCTCTCATCCTTGCCCTGGCAGAAGGAGGACAACAAAGCTCCCTGAGATAGCATGAGAGGAAACGGCCTCAGGTTGCACCAGGGGAGGTTTAGGTTAGGTATTAGGAAAAATTCCTTCACCCGCAGGGTTGTCGACCACTGGAACAGGCTGCCCAAGGTAGTGGTTGAGTCACCACCCCTGGAGGGATTTAAAAGATGTGTAGACATGGCTTAGAGACATGGCTTAGTGGTGACTTCGTAGTATTAGGTTACCGATTGGACTTGATCTTAAGGGTCTTTTCTCACCTAAATGAATCTAAAAGCTTGTGGAGCCCCAGGATCATTATCCTCATGCCTGGCATGCCCAAACAACCCGAAGTAACACCAGTGCTTGCAATATACTGCGTGGAAGGGTGAACTTACAGGGGGGCCTGGAGGTCCTGGCAAGCCCGGGCGGCCAGAAGTACAAGAGCAGGCAGGAGCTAAGGTAGGGCAGGTCTCCTCGTCCCTCTGAAATAAAAGCAAGCCAAAGAGGTATGAGTAGCTGTGTAGCAGGAGTGGGATGGATCACAGGTAACATTTTTCAGTGTTTCAAAAATCCGTTGGAGAAAAGCAGAAATTTACTCCACTGAGAGATTTTTCTGAACAACCAAGTGCTTCATTTTTCTGCCAAACAACAAAAAAATATGAAGCAGCCCTGCCTGAAATATGCATAACACATACTGGAAGACAATTCTCTCCTTGCCAAGTATTTATAGATCCCACAAAACAACTTTCTGTGTTGAGAAGAAAGCCTGAAAGGAAGAGCAGGGGGATGCTGTGCCTCAGGGCTGAGGTGGCAGCAAAGCCCATAGCACTGTCAGGGATGCTGTCACAGATGAGTTCATGGCAGGAGGGATAGATACTGCACTGGGATTTGAGTTTTCTTTCCTTTGAAGCAAACACAGTTTTGTTCACTTCACCAAGGAAACACAGAGATGTTATTTCTAAGAGAAAAGAGGGGAAAAAGAGGTTTCCCTCTTGACTCTATCAAATTCATTTGCAATGTCACTTCAGTGCCACAGACTTCCCAGCTTCATGTCAATTAGCAGAGCGGTCCCTCTTGTCTTACCAGTGCAGGGAGATCACAGCATCTGTCTTCCTCTGCTCCCACACTGCTGCACAGGATCTGCAAAGACTGCAGCTGGAACTGTGGAGAAAGGAGGGTTTGACAAGAAAGTAGCATTGGCACACACTGTCCATCACCAAATCTCATGATGTTCAATTACTAAAAACAATCTTCAGTGATGATTTGACAGGAGTCCTCCATGTGATCCCAAATATCCTTGTGCCCAAATGAGCCGTAACGTGAACAGTACCTCTGGCCGCTGAGTGTTCTACGAGCCCTCAGGTCTCCATGTCTTGCTAAGCAAGTCAACAAGCAGCTTCACACCAGCAAAAGCCAAGTCTCCAATTTACTCACAATCCTGCAACAGCACGCAGGTTCTCAAGTAATTGGGCTTCAGCATCATCAAAATGGGAAAGCAAACTTTGCTTTGCTCCCCGCCTTAGGGGCATGGAGGTAAAAGTAAATGTGGCAGCAGCATTTCCCAGGACAGATGTGATCCCCTCCCGAGAACTCCCAACCTGTCTCTCTCACCACATCTTCCACAACTGACACATCTTCCCACCCCGATTAACAAAGCAGCACACACTGCACAAAGCCAAACTAAAATAACGAGGCAAATATTTTTTTTTTCTTTCCGTGACACCATTTCTCATCCTCTTTTTAATTCCACTCCATGCATTTAACAACGAGCAAGCTGTGCAGCCCAGGGAGCGTGACATGCAGTGCAGCATACAGATGCAGATGAGCCTTGTAGATCGAGCGGCATTTAAAGGTATCTTAAATTAAATAAGATTCCATGATAACCAGTAATGAGACATTCTGTCTTCCCAAGGGCAGCAGAGCCATGGAAGACGTGAAACTTCCCTGGGCTTGAAAGGCGATGGGAGTAGGGTCAGCACAAAGCTGTTCATTACTCCGCTAGATCTGTCTAGCTAAGCTGCTAGCAGGGGGAATTTGGGACGGGCAACGAGAGCGCAGATTTCTGCCTTGCTGGCCACAGGCTTGTGATCAAATTGCCACAGAATTTATTTATGAAATAAGTAAATACTGCTTGGATACCACTGTCCCCTGGTTTGTTCTACAGCTGGCCCCATATCTTACAGGCAATTCCAATGTCCAGCTTTGCCCTGGTATACCCCAGACCTCTGCTTCTCTCTTTGCAGCTGAGGAGGCATAAGGGACGAACTGTTTTTACTGCTCTGCTTTGAGGCAAGGGAAGTTGTAAATCAACTAGTGTGCTGTTTTCCCCTGAATTTCTAGATCTAAAAGCAGAGCTAAGCAGTAAAAGCTTCACGCAAGTTGTGAATGATTTTCTACAGTCCCACTAGCAAATTGTGAGTGGTGAACTTGCCCTTTATTCTCCATATATTTAACACTCCCGTTTTGTGGAGTAAATATGGTAACAGACTGCCAGGCGATGGCATGCACAGGTGGTTTTGCCCTCAGGACCATGCTATCGGCATGATATCAAGTCCACACTTCTCCTTATTCTTTCCTCTTGTGGGAAGCAGGCTCTCTGCAGCGATGCAGTCAGGACATACCCGCAGGCTGGCATGGAGTGTTTGGGTTGTTTTTTTTTTTTCAAGTAGCAGCTGACAAAGAGCCTTGATGCTGAAGATTATTTTGCTATCATTTGCATGCAGATACACAAGTCAAAACACGCTGGAGACTGAAGCACATCCAGCCCTGCTGCCTTCAGTCCCCGGCGTTTCCTGATATCGCTTGGTGGGGGTTGATGCATCCAACCTTCCCTTGCAGAAGCCATTCCCAAACCCTCCTGTCTGCTTCAGCCTCTTAGGGCAGGATTGGTGCTTCCCCAGTCCCCAGACGATGCAGCCAGCTGAAAGCACCTCCAGGACACACTCATGCTGCTGCCCCTGATCACAGACCTCAAGCAGAGGCAGGAGGAGAGGGGGAGAAACACCGCACTAGGAAAGCTCATTAAGATCACAGAGATCAATGGGATCAGGACACAGTCAAGCATCACAGCAGCATCTGGAGGCATTCAGAGCGGGAATGATGCGAGATGGCTCTTCTCTCCATCTGCCCACCCCAGCCAGCTCCAAATTTAAGTCCCTCCACTCTCCAAGGGCACGCACCCCTGGGGACTCACCGATGCAGACCCGCTCCTGGGTCCTCTGGTCCTTGTCACTTTTCCCAGCATGATGAAGCCAGCGGTGGAGATGCTGCCAACGGTGTTGATTGGTTTCTCTGCTATTTTCTTACAGTCCAGATAGAGTTTGATCTTGAAGTGGCTCACGGCCACGTGCACCTGGGCAGCAGGTGGAAAGAGGCAGGTTGGAGCTCCGTGACGAGCTGGGGGAGTCCGTTAAAGACAGTAATGCCTCCTGCCCACTGCCCAGACTGCTGCTGGTACTAGGGGTGTAGTTTTAATGAGCAAATGGATCAAGGGGGCTCAGGAATAAATTCCAAGATATGCTGTGTCTGCTGTGCAACACTGCAATTTTCCCTGACGTTCCCCTCACCTGTCCTTGGGAGAAGACTTTCTGGAGTTTTCGTATTAAATAATTCAGTTTCCAGAGCTAGCTGAATAATCAAACTGCCAACAGACACTGATAGAAAGTGTTTGTTGCTCATTTGGGTGGAATACCTTTGCTCTGAGGACACTGATGGCCAAAAAAACCCTGTTATGAGTAGTAAGGTGGCTTTCTCACAAGGCCAGATTTATTTTTTTTCCTTCTGTCCAGCACTAAATGGTCACCAAAATCATAAATTTTTAAAAAGTTTGATTTCTCAGTTTTTCCTGATTTTTAAGACCTGAAACCCCCTCAGCTGTGGAGTTTCTGAGGGGAAAGGAAAGAAATCAATATGTGGAAATCATATTTTGAGCATGGCATGAACCTTAATTCTTTGCAATCATAAACTTCAGCATATCAAATAGGTTTGCCAGTTCCCTAGCAATCTGGATGCAAAGCATTTGTATAATCACTCCTCGCTTTGAACAATACACATTGATGGCATAATACTTTCCGACTGGATTGAGATCGTGAGCAACATTTCTCCCTCTCTTGATAAGGACCTTGTGAAAGCTCCCATAGAATATCTTCCTCACTTCCTGCTGGTCAAAGGAGACTTCCTGTAAATCAGCCTTGTAGTCATGATTGAAATACGTCAAGGATTTCTTACTGGCTACAGGGAAAATAGGACAAATAACAGCTCAGAATTATAAGAGAAGTTGATTTCACCCACATACTGAACAGCAGTAAATAAACAGGCTTAAACACGGTGAAATATTTCTTATGTTAGAATGAAATACTTTTAAAGAGTAGAAAAGAAAAAGAATATGTAAATATAAAGAATATAAGTAGAATGAAAATGAAATTATGTCTTTTAATTGCATTAGGGAACATTTAAAATGCCAGGTTGGCAGCAGCAACAAATCTCCCCCAAAACTGCTGCTGTATAACAAAAACATTAAAACTTTCCACATGAATGCCAAAAGGAGTTCTGCTACGTGCAGAAATGTGTGAAAATACCTGAATTTCATGTATTCAACAAGAAACCTTACGGTCAAGGTTAACACCAAGGAGGGGCTGGAAGTCCTCATCTGTTATTTGCCACACAGCGAAGGGCTCCTTGGGAGTCTCGGGCAGGAGGCGCAGGAGGATGCTGATGGTGTGCTCGGGTGGGATTGCAAAGAGGTGGACGTCGCTGGAATGAGACAAGCCAAGCAAGCGTCAGTGGCTTCAAGCTGCAAGAGCCAGCAGGCAACATCCTACAGAGAGTGCTCACCCATCATGTTTCTTGGGCAGGGTGGCCTGGAAAAGCTTCACCCCTGGGAGCTGATATGCCAGGAGAGAGCCTGGTCCCTAGCTGTTGGTCATCCCTCTCAGGCTGTTGAAGCCTGTGCTGAGCGATGAGCCCCCGGAAGCCTTTGCCTCGTGCCATAGGAGAGACCCAGGTAGAGCAGTCGGCATCAGTACATCACTGCCAGAGCTGCCTCGGGGAATGCCAAGACACGACGAGTGCAGCCTTAATGCTTTTCGAAATAGAGCCCAGCAGTAGCTTACAATGTTCATCATGTAGCCTTGGCCAAAGTCAGTGTAAGTGGCCTTCAGGGATAAGCACAGAGCCCACAGAACGCCCTCCCAGGTCCCCACATACCAACTGCAAAATTTGGGCTCAGAGCTGGAACCCACAGCCATGCAGTAATGCCTGTCGGCTGCTGCTGGCATGACCCAGCTCCCTCTGCAGGAGCTGCCAAAGAGCACACCGGGCAGGAGCAGCAGCAAGCGGGTGCAAGGCAACAAGGAAGGTGAAATTGGTTATGCCTGAAATACGTCTGTAATCTGAAACAGGACACATTTGCATGGGCACATACACAACTCATCAAGCATCTTTTCAGGACTGATTCATAAGTAATTACAGGTTCTTATTCGTCTCTCTGTTTCTGAAAAAATAATGTCCTTGAAAGGCATACGTACCAGCTGAAGAAAAGGATTTGCCCATAATTTTCAAAGTATTTAAACCAAAGAGTTCTCTGAATCTCCACCACTCTGTTTACTCTAAGAAGCTTTGCTTTAACTAAGATTAAACTGAGCCAGTGCCCCAGTGATTAGGCTTTAAACAAAGTAGAACTGAATGTCAAGAGTCAGATCATTTCTGATTTATAATCATAAAAAATGAATCAGGTCATGGGAGCTGCCTGGCCCACTTGGGACACCGTGGAGAAGCCTCGTACGCAATGAAACAGGGTCAAGTCACAACCCAGAGTCAGTGGCTATTCCCTCTCATCTCTAAAGACCAAGCTGCAGAGAGCAGTTATGAGACAAATATTTTCTAAAGCAAAGATCTCTCTCCAAAGCAGAGATGCTGGGACAAGGGATTGAAGATGAAAATGTGACCTCAAACTGCCATCACTGAAGTGTATGTGGTTGTGGACAGAATGCCTGAAGAATGGTGCAGTGTCCATACATGACAAGACCCCATGCCCATCACAGCAACTAACACTGCTGGAAAAAGTGATTTTGTAAAAAGAAAAAACCTGACTGAGAAAATGTTTGGCTGCACAAAAAATATAATGAATACCCCTATTGCGTCTCCTTAACTTCTGCGTGACATATTCCATACTCCTCTTTGAAGAAAGTCAGAGGTTAATTTCTTAATATATGAAGGAAAAATACTCTGGCATTCATTTCAGTCTACCTATGGTTTGATTTAGCTCATCAGCTTTATCATTTCATTTTGAAGTTGCCAGTGGGGCTGCATCATTCCCCCACAAATCAGTGTTCTTCCTTCGCTGCGAGCACAGCTAATGTGCATGCATGAGACCGACGATGAGCACGACGCCGGTCACAGCTCCACTCCCACCTGGTCCTCTGGGTGAGCTGAGAGTCTCTGAACAGCGTGAAGGTACGGGAACCGCTGAATATGAATGGCTCCATAGCTACGCCTTTAATGGAGGCGTATTCCTTCTCTACTAAGCCAAAGGCTTCCATCATATCAAACCCTGGAACAGACAAAGGAAAACAGAAAAATAAGTGGTTAGAAAAGAGTGCAAGAAAAGCGTGATTGCAGAGCGGGTAGAATTCGCCTCTAGCTAGCATGGAACAGGCAATAGGAGAAAATGCCATAGCAACACGGAGACCAGCAAGGCTCTGCCGTCTCACTAGAAACCTCTGGTGTGCTCCATGAGTGGGAGCTGAGGAAACTGGTTTGTGTCTGTACCCTCTGCACACGTTTGCTGTAATCTCCTCTTGGGGAAGAGCCGAGCCGAGCGAAGATGGAGACTTTAACAACTGTGTTTTCAAATCTCCAGAATGAAAAACAAATGAGAAAGTTACTCCAACAATTTCTCCTTTTCAACTAGATGCAAAAATATGATCTTCAAAAGACGTGGAATCTGTCCAGTAATAGCTACCAGGGAGAGATAAATATTTCTGCTCTGAAATGCCTTATATGTAAGAGTCAGAAAAACTAGGAAAAAAACTTTAAAATGTGAGCATTTCCATTTCTCCCTGTTGTCATGAGACCCCCGGGGTGACCTGCCTTGTGTGGTCTACAGAGATTCTCCCCTGACATCTCTGACATGGCCTCCCTGGCTCGTGCAGCTTCATTTCACTCTCCCAGCTCATCATTAAAGCTCCGAGTCATTTTCTCATTTCGGTTTTCTGTTCAGTAAGACAAGATCTTGCAATTGGGATTCTTTTTTCAGTTTATCTGCGTTTGCAGCAGGCTGGGATGAAGGAGATATCTTGCTGTTTAGCAAATGGAAAGGCGACAACTTCATTGCAACATGGTGCTTTCAGTCTGGATTCCCTCACCCCTTCATTGTTTATGAGCTTCTGCATTTCCTTGGCTTGAGTTGTTATTTCACCTGGGGGTTGGTCCAGAGTGCCCTTTTTTTTCTTTTCCCCCCCCCCCCCCCCCAACAGTACTACGGAGTTTGCCAAAACAAACGACCTACTTGAGAGCCATTTATCTCTGACATGGAGCTTCTGGCACTGGAAATTCCTTTAAACATGCAGGAAATATTGTAGCACAGAGAGTGAAAACAAAGCTTGAGTCACGGTTATAAACACGTTGTAATATGCTCATATTATTATCATATCATGAATCTGCCATGTAATGGTTTCAGCGAGCTGCTAAGGAAATGGGCTACTCCTGCAACCTTTGTCAAGAAGGAGAAGGAAAAGCCAACATTCATTGTGGCTTTATGATTTGATTGCTTTGGCTTCTGCATCCATAGACAGGGCACCAACGCCGAGAGCCTCCCAGGCAGGGAAGCACAGCCTCGTGAGCTGCGAGGGTCGGGTGGGAGCGGAGCAAAGATGAAGTGAAGCCACAGAGTAACAGCGGAGCTAAGAACTGAAGGCAGTTTCTCAGTCTCACACATATCACAAAGCTCTCTGGGAAGGAGGTGATATCACTTTATAATCAGGACTAATTGCTTTCTAACTAGCAAATACTTACAGCAGCCCCAACAGCAGGAAGAGGAGTTATAGCATAGACAGGAGAAATGGGAACTTGCTACCCTAGGAAAGTTCGTAGAGCCTGACTGCAGAGAGCTCTTGGGTATCCATACCTTCTCTAGGGGACGCAAAGGTCAGCTTGGTGACACACTGAGAGCTTTTCTTAAGGAGCCGATATGAGTTAGGAGTTGAAATCCTCGTGAAATTCAACCGCCATTTGAAGCCTAGCTTCCTTAAGGCCAGTGAAAATCCCGGCATTCCCCACTAACGACCAAGATCGTGAGCTGATGGAACAGCGAGGGCATACCAGTTCAGGTAGTGCAGAATATTCTTCTGCCAGCTAAGGAATATTTTTGTGTTTAGGTTCTCAAACTTCTCCCATTTCCCTCAGGACAGGGAAACCATTTCCTTCTTGCTCAGTTGTTGCATATTTCTCACAAGAGAAGACCAGGTAGTGCTTTCACATTCACAGCCCAGCATCACTGGGGCTTGGTATTCTACTGTACCTCGTGTGGAGCCTTCGGCAGAGCTGATGGTGGGGCAGGCTGCGAGAAGAAAATAAAAAGGGGAAACTATTAGGGAAAAAAAGACGGTAGGGGATTATAGAAGCAAAATGGACACAGTTCGTCTGGGCAGAGCAATGGAAAAAACACAGCAAAACTTAGAATATTCTACAGCTTAATTCAGAGCCTGGCCTTTAAACTTGTTTATATATAAATGGAGAGAGAAAGTTTATGCTTATGCAGACATAAAGGTAGTTGGCTGGCTTGCCCATCACAAAAATAAAACTACTGTCTTTCATCATCAAACATCTTCATGATCTCTTTCTTATGACTAACTCACCTAGCACCTTACAATATGAAATAGAAGAGAGCATTATGTTCTGCAAGTTTCTCTTTAAAAACAGACATCAAAACACTAATTTATTTTTTTTCAAACCATGCTTTTACTGCAACATGCACCTTAGTGGTGTTGTAAAATAAAGAATGATATCTGCAGCTCCAGATTTTGTACCTGAAATTCAAAATACACACATCAAAAATGTACATAACCTGAGAGTTTGGCTTTTGACCTCTTGGGAAACACAAAGAGATTTTTGGCAAAGTTTTGTCGTTTGCCTTTCAGAAATTCCCTTGATGTATCTTCTAAGAAACAGAAGCAGAAACCAGACAGAAAGCAAAACCAGAGAAAAGATTGGGACATGAAGCTGGAACAGGAGGCACCATGGTTATGAGCACTCTCCATTTAAAAAGCTCAGGTAAGGGGCTGTTTCAGAAAACAGCACACTAATGCTACTTTCAGTCATCTGCTGCCATGTAAATCCCAGGTCATGGATGCCAGATGGGCCTGGGACAAAGGGAATGCTTGACGCAAAATGAGAAGCGTCCCTGAAAATCAAGGACACTTGATGAGACAGTTTCTTTCTTAAATGGTTTTATGGGTCGTCAGTATAATAGAATCTAGCAGATCATTATACTAAGGCTTCGTTATAGCCTTGCTATTGCTATTCTTGCATCAATGTCATTTCATACCTCATCAGAAAAGGAGGGCTTCCAATTGTCCGTATCTAACTTTTGTAAAAGCCGTAAAAAATGTAAAGGTGGTGACTTACCCTCCCCAAAGTGCCTGAGATTCCTAAGTCTAAAGGAGTTTCAATGCCATTCTTCATGATCAAGACACACACCAAAGAAAGGGCACCCTAACCTATGACTTTAAAGGTCATGGGACTGCTGAAGCCAGGAGTCAAAACACACTTATGAGTTGCCATGACCTCCGTTATTCAACCCGATGCATAGTTTTACACATATGTACGATAATTCCTGTAGGGTTGGGTATAAAACTATTGAAGGGATCTATGGAAACTGATTAATTAAAATTTCAGTTACTGAAACTTGAGCCTCAAAACCATCTCTTTGAGCTTGGCCAGTCCCTGACTGTGGAGCAATGCCCTGCATCCTGGATGAGCTGACTTCTGTCTAAAAGCTATACACCGCTCTTTCCCTTCCCCGTCCAGAAACCAACCAGCTTTGCAAATGCAAAGCATTGCTCAGAATTGAAGCCGGATGAAGCAAAAATGAGGAAATCCCTCCAAAGGCATATAAAGAGGCTACAAACTTGCCCATTTCCTAGATCTCTGACTTTCTTTCTTGGCAGTCAGGGAGCTCTTTCTGAACCTCGCCCGGACTCCAGTGTCCCTCTTGCTGACCTCCCTGGCAATCCTCACCTGCTTCCCAGGCTGACGGTACTTGGATTGCTCACAGCTCTTTGTTCTGGAAGTGCAGAGCTTAGACAAAGCATAGCAGAGTCAGGGTAAGGGTCCTCAACGCTGACAGTTCGCACTTCTGCTTTGAAGATTTTTCCTAGACTTTCCAGCCCAGGATTCCTGCTTTTTTTGTCTTGTTGTTCTCTTTTTGGTTTTTGTTTTTCTCCCCAAGTCCCAAGACAAACGCACTTACACACTGCACAATAAACATTCGCTCCTGCAACGTGTCAGCCCCTTTCTCTCAGTAATTTGGTTACCTATCAATAGCTGAGTCTTTCACTGCACGTCCAGTGGTTTTCCCAGCATTATTACATGTCATCTCCACTTCTTAAAGAAAGGTTATTTTATAAAACCACAGAATCAGAGAATGCTTTGGGTTGTATGCTTATAAAACATACAGAATTTAATATTTCTCCTATTGTCTTTTCAGCTATCACAGCCAAACAGCTGTATTAAATTCTACAAGGTGACTCATCGACCTTATGGGAGGATCCTTTTCTGCTTGAGAGCTCACAGGACTTTTTCACTGTGGTCTGAACACCTGTGGATTCCCTCAACAAGCCACTTGAAAACTTAGACTGATCTGTCCTTCGTTGAGCACAAACTAAAATTTTCTCATCTAGTCTGCTTCATTCTTCCTTTGTGGCCTCCCTCAACACATTTTAAAACTGAAGGTTTTTTCAAATAGACAGGAAAAGGCATTACTGCCACAATATCTGTATTCTAATATTTGCTTCTTAACTTTCTTATAACCCCATTAATTCAACATTTCTCACTAATCCTTTTCATAGCTTGCTTTATATCAGCTATGAGAACATATGCTCATTAAATTTAATAAGGGACTTTACAGGGAACTTTAATTTAAAACATGTCATCATCCCCTTTGCTCTGTTTTGGTCAAGTTGTGCAGAAATGCCCTAAAAATCTTATCAGTCTCTTTCCTAAGTGAGTCTGATTTTGAGAAGTTATGTGGTTTCTGGCTGTCCTTGGACAGTCCCCAGAGGCATCTGTCAAGAAATTACATACCCGCGCCTGCCCGCCCTGCAGAGCCCACACTGTGTGATTTGTTACGGAAAAAACAAAACCAAGGCAAGAATTTACAGGAGGTGATTTACCCTCTGCTTTAGATGGAATGAATCCTCGTATTGAAGGGAACTTCGACAACACAGGAGCTGAAACACAAAACAATGCATGTGTGAGCTCTGTTTTTCAGGACCATGATGCCTGACTCGAGACCCAGATGGTCACCAGCCCTTCCTGGTCATTCTGGAATCACGAATAATGCAGGGGAGGAGTGCAGAATTTGAGGCAGGATTTTGCCTTTTCAAGGCTGGTAGTCTACCCTGCTGAGCAAAACCCTGGCCTTGGCCACAGCCCAGTGCAAGTGAGGACATTGCTGCCTCGACAGAGGTTGCCTCAAGGCTGATGGATGGAAGGTTATGAAGAACATACACATGCTGACTGATACACTTACCGGTCCGTCCCGTTGTGGACGTGCTCTCGCTTTCTCCCGTGTAGTGGATGGCAGAAACGATCACCTTGTAGGCTCTATCAGGCAGCAGCGACTGCAGGGTCACGCTGCTGCTCTTGCCAGAAGCCATGATCTACAGTGGGGTGGAAAAAGAGCCGAACATTTTGGCAGGCTTCCCATTATAGCTCTTACTCGCACTCCAGAGTTACTGGAGGGGTTCTAGTGGTGAGTCCTGGGACAGCAGGGCTCGGGGCTGCATCCCTGCTTAGTTCAGGCAACGGTGAAAGCAAGCCGAGGAAGCCTGGCTATGCATTGCCATCAGACCAGCCATGTCCAAGGGAAGAGTATTTCCCTATGTAAAGACTCCAATACTCCCCATGCAAATGGGTCAGAAGTGCCTCACAACACCGTAACCAGTCTGGGTTTGAGTAGAAAATCTGGATTTTAAAAGGTTAATGTTTAACCTCCCTAAGTCCAAGGGGAGGTAGGTTTATCCTCAACCCTTTACCTTTGAGAATTCCCTGCCCCGGTTCAGGGAGGGGAGAAAGCTGCGTTATTAGCAACTTTGATCAACACAAATATCTTAATCGCAAAGAAGCCTGGAGGTCCTTTTTACAAAGCAACACACCAGCATGTCAGGGGAAGAGGTTTGGTTTTGTACTACTGCAAACCAGCTGTCCTTATGGGAAACTCTACTGGAGTAAGCAGAGTTCCCCTGGGCATGAAATTGTCCCCACACCCTCTGGTCCCGTGCCTGTCACCTACAGAGGAGCTGGACACTCACTGTTTGCTGAGCACCGGCATCAGAAACAGGGCTGTAGGTAATTTTGTAGTGCTGAATGCGGCCGTCGGGAGGGGTCCAGCGGACCTGGAGGCTGGTGGGGGTCTCGGAGTCAATGAAGAGGTTGGTGGGTGGGCTCCGGGAATCTGTGGCAGGGATTAAAAGTGAACAGCGTAAAAGGCAGGCATTAATGTCTATAAACAGGGCCAGCAGCACTTGCTGCCAAGCCCATTTCTGAATGCATCAGTGCTCTGCGGTGCTGTGAACCAACGCTCAGCACAGAAGGAATCACCCTGGGGATCAGGCAGGAGAGAAAAGAGATCCTGGAGCGACGAGGTTTGCCCGCGCGCAACACGATACAACTCAGGTGTTCAGCAGTTCAAATCCTACGACCCGGGAAAAAATCTTGGAAGGAGGAAAGAGTCCTGGAAGCACAAGGAAAAGAGTTCCTTTGTATATATCATGGACAATCACCAAAAGGCACCCTTTAGAAAGGTCCAAACTGCAACTGAATTTCTTCAAAGGCACACTGGACAAACATCTTGATTACTGGTTAAACCTGGATCACACTTCAAATTTAATCCATGATAATTTCTAACACTTTCCATCTTTCTCTTATCATTTTAAAATTATTCTAAAAAACCCCAGAGCAGCCAGCACACAACAGTTTTGTCTAGCGTTTCTCACACCAGCCCCCACAGCCTCGAGGAGGGGATCATGTACAGTGCCTGAGCGACTCTCCCTTTCCTGGCCCTGCACTGTGCTCTATGGCTGTATCCCAAATAGGTGACGCGCTGAGCCGCGGTCAGCCAGAAAAGGGTTTGCCAGAGACCAAAGCGAAGCAATTCTTAATTATGTAAATGCATTTCTTTCCCTGGGGTCCTGCTGTGTAGCAGACTGGACCTGGTAACAGAGGCTGCTCTGCCGGAGTGATTTCTCTGAGCAGGGGCTGACAATTAATAAGAGAAAGGCGAAGGGAGTTAAATCCATCCGCTGTTCAAACAAGGGGCTCGAGAGCACGGGGTCATCTGCTCCTGGGCTTGTTTCCAACCAGCGTCTTGCTCTGCGTAAGCTCATGTATCTGGCCTTGAACCCATGCTGGGGTGAAGACACAGAAGTGTTGGACAGACAAAACGAAGCATTTTATTCAGAAGAGACTGAAAATTATGGGTGAGCCCCAAAGACAGTCAAGCACACACCCCAGGCTGTGAGGTCTCTACTCCACAGTTTCAACTGTAAGGTTCTTCTGCCCACCCAGCAAAGTCTGGGGTGACCTTAGAGAACAGGCTGAATGAAGATCATTTGCACCTTCATTGATCCTCCTTCCCCTCTCTGTATAAAATCAGCTTACTTTTACTGAAGCTGAACCAAGTGTGCAGGCAGCTGAATCAGGCTGGAGGCTGTTGCTGTGCATCACCGCAAGGTAAAGCGGAGAAGAATACAAGTGTGGGAGGTAAAGTAACTTCAACAGCACTATTATTAGGGCTGTGCTATACGTCTGCGTCTTTGCCGGCTGCATTGGTTATTTCCATCAGCCGAGGTAAGTGGAGGCTCTGTTTAAGTGAACAAAGGGAAAGTTAAGGAAAGTCTTCTGAGTTGGGTTTATTCTGGAAAGCCCCCAGGTCTGGCAGAATTTGATGGCTTGGATCTGACAGCAAGGGGAAAGGTCACCTATCGAAGCTGCCCAGGAGGAAAGCAGCATCTCTGACACAGAGGACACCATCTGTGCCTTTGATTACCTCTTGAACCTCTGCTCCTCCACAGGAGGAATCCCAGGCTGCTTGCTCTTGGGTCTAAGCAGCATCATAGGCACATTTTCAAACAAGAATAAAACCTTGGAATCCGTTCCATCAAAATATTCCTCTGCAATGATTACACAGTTCATGTATTCTCCCTTGCTGTCGTGGGTTGAAGCTTCTTCCCCATGTTTCAATCCCTTTTATTTGCAATGCCTGCTCTACTAGGAAGAGCTCATTTAGGAGCTGGATAAAGATCTTGAAAATATTTCTCAGTCCCCGGCTGGTCATTCTTCTGGCACTGGATTATTGAAAAATAATCCTAAATTTTTCTTTTTTTCCCTTAATCAAGACTAAGAATTGAAGAAATTCCACTTGCTCCACGCATTTTGCGACAACAAAAGCACTCCCTCTGGCACCCAGTTTTTGCTTGTGTTTCAGGCTTGTATGAAAGTAAGGCAATAGCAGAGAGGGACAAGGTTCACAAAAGGAGAGAGGTGGTTGTCAGCCCTCCCTCGCTAGCGCAGCCGTGGGGAGGGATGCCCTCCTCCTAGAAGGATGCCCAGTCCACCTGGCACTGGTGGTGGGAGTGAAATTAAGGTATCTATCTCAGTTATTTATGTGGCGATGGTCTCACTCCACGTAAATAACTAAATATTCAAATAAATAATATTTTTTTAATAGACTGTAGATCTGATGTTTTCCAGCTACACATCTTAACTCCAAAAGTACTTGTTACTCCCTCTTGCTCTCTCTGAATATTTAAGTACACCATCACAACTTCAATGCTAAGTGCTGAGCTAGATAAGAAGAGAAGAAGGGACCTACACCATGTCACTGTCTCCAAGCCCACAGAGTGACACATCACAGTGATGAATGGTTTTGGTTTTTATAAAAGAGGATGAAATTTCTGACGAACTATTGTCTGTGAGGGATTGGTGTCTGCAGGGTCCCCTCGCCTTGAAATAGGGGTTTCAGGTGGGGCAAGAGGGCAAGCAGTCCTGAATAGCCTGAACTTGCTGTTCTCACCTTGGCCCCAGAGGGACGAACGTGGCTCCGTTTCACAAAACCAGCCTGCAAAGAGCATCGCTCTGACCTGGCATTTTTCCCTTAACCTTCAAAGAAGAAAGTATTCCGGGGAG